GGTTCACTGCTCAGGTCCCTCAGCCCCCAGCCTAAGTTGTCTTGGACAACCCCGCAGCTCTGCGGCCGCCGCCTCCTCCAGCTTCCCCTCCCCTTGGCATTGCTTGGCTTTAACTTTGAGCTGCTTTTTTTTTTTTTTCCTGGCGGGGCTGGTTGCTGGGAGGTGCAGTGGGCAGTGGCGGCTCCCGCTGCGAGGCTAGGGGCTGAGAGGGGCCCCGGCCGGGCACGGAAGGCGGCGAGAGATGCTCGCTTCTGTGAGTTCTGCCGGTGGGGGGCCAAGGAGGGCTGTCGACTAGAAGGAGGCCGAGGTTGAGGAGGCCGGGCAGGGCTGATGATGGTGTTAAATGTGGCCGCGCAGCTCCCCGGGGAGGTGCCTGAAAGGAGAGTGCGCTCACCAGCTGACAGCGCGTGCTCCGCTCCAGACGCTCCGCACCGCGGCCAGGAGCCTCTGCCAGCCCCTCTATTGTCAACCGTTCTCTAATTAAGAAACACTCACATTACGGCAAACCACCCCCACGCTTCTTGGTTCCTCTCCTTTTCTTTATCTTCCCCCGACTTCTCTCCTCCCCTGCTTCCCAGAATTTAACCCATTCTCCGCTTCATTCTCCTTTTCTTGTTAGGGGCCTAACAGAAGGGAAGGGCCCTCAATGGTTGGCGTCTGAGGCTCTCTGGTCAGCCTAGAGTGAGAGTAGTCAAAAAACAGCGAGGGAAACGTACAACTTTGTTTTATAACCCCTCGCCCCCCAGTCTTTGCCCCTTCTTACAAAGCCAACTGCAAGTAATGCAACTACTAGAGGTCATCTTTAAACTCACTAGTACATACTTGCTTGTTTTTCCAGATAGCAATTGACAAGTCTAGGTTGCAATTGACAAGTGGGTCTGCACTTTTGTTTCCAATTCTAACTGACGTTTGGAAGAGCTAAAACGAAGTTGATTATCTCCTCTTGAACTTTCAAATAAACAGAGGAGATAAAGAATTACAAAATATCCTTTGATAAAAAGACCGGTTACTTGGTTCAGATTTAGAAGTCCAAAATCAATAGACAGGCCTCAGGAAGGCATTGGCCTGGCTTTGGTTAAGATTAAAGAAATTAACTCACCCTCTTTTTCTGGTCAAGCTGGAACCCCAGTTAGCAATGTTCCATACGGAAGAATATGCTTAAATTTGTCAGTTGCCAAAAATAATCTCACTCCAACTTTTTGTGAAATCAAATAAGTTCCCAAAATGTGATGAGCTGAAACCCTCCACAAATAAAAGTGATGGTGGGGTAGAAGGCAAAGACAGCATTTAAAGCAAGTGGCTTCAAGTATATAAAACTAGAAACCACCAGCAGTGTCTCAAAAGACTAACCCGATTTATCTATCTTCATTACTTTAAGAAATGCTGCCTCTTTGTTTGTTTGGGTGATATTAAGCATGCTTAACTTGCACACATAGTTGATTCCTTTGCTAGTATCTTAGATACTTGGATCTGACTTTGGAAGGTAGAAGCTAATTGCTAATAATGGAGAGAAAGGATCCAGTCAGCATGGCAGGAGTGGTCTGGCATATGGGGAATGAGCGCTCAGAAATACTCAACATTCAAGTTTCCAAAATATTAATGAGATTATAGCAACCTGCAGCTATATGTTACAGCTTGTTAATGGTGTGTAAGAGAGCGAGATGCCAGACGTTTGTTATGCAAACTCCAGAGCAGAACCTTAAAATGGAAATGTGATTGTACATCTCTTTCAAAGAAATGCCAGCATAAGAAGAAAGAAATAGAATGAAGGAAAGAAAAGAGGTTAAAGTCCTCATTTGAACTTTGAACACTTAATTTGCCACAAAGGGATTTGGCTTTTTGTACGCGTCTTGATGGGTTAGAAGAATTCATCCACATTTTCAATCTGTGTGATACGGAATTTCCAATCTGATATTTTGTTTTTCTCATGAGAAGAACTCTCAAGTGATTTCCTTAAATGATGTTGGCATTGTCTCCAATTAGTATATAATGCCATTAACATTTAAAAATTAAATATTTGACTATTGTTACAAGAAGAAAGAAAAACCCTCTGAACATTTGCATAGTTGACCTCCTATCCACAGATTTTCTTAGAGAAAAATTTGTGGGTGGGTTAACCTGGTGGAAGGGAATAGTAAGACTCCATTCTAGATATTGACACTTTTTGTCTGTGTAATTTGGGAGCAGTCAGGGACAGGGGCACTTATAAAAGATGGGAATGGTGTTCTTGATGCCTTTCTATTTTGAAATTTCTGTAAGTCCATGAAAATAAAAGTAATAACTTTGGAAGTCTTTTTTCCTCTGATTATCACAAAATTTGAGCATAAGGTTTTTGAAAACGAAATATAGTTTTCTTTGAGGAAAACAGTCACTTTATTTTCCTTAGTCCTGCCCTTCCCTTACTCACATTCATAACCGGTAGAAGCATTCTCCGTCTCTCTCCCCCCACCCCAACTCTCTCTACACAGGCACGCAGACACACCAAGCAAAGTAACTATAAAAATATGTGTGCATTTATCCTGTAAGGCTGCTGTGTGTCAATGCCTGTTGAGTCTGCTTATTGAGGGCGAAATGGGAATGTGTTAGAAGCATTCGCTTAATTTATTCAGCAGCCAGAAGATTCCTGATGTTTATCGTCAGCACAGCAAACTCAGTGGGAGCAAAATGTTATCTAAGGGGCAGGTGCATTGTTTCTGCCCCTGTAAAGTGTCACGAGCCGCCGCTCACTTCTCCTAGAGGGCTGGCGGAGGTTTTCGGCTTCTCTGGATCTTACACATCAGCTGAAAGCCATGGATACCCAGGTGGTCAGTTAAAAGCTGGTTCTCTAGAGCAGAACTTCACTCCTTCGCGCATTTCTTTTTCTCCGCGCCTCCCTCACCCCTGCCCCGCCCCGGGTTTGTGGCGCTCTCCTCTTTTCAAGATGCTGCGGAGAAAGGGGAACACAGGAACGATTAAAATAGCTATCTCTCACTTTTTGCCCCTTCTTCCTTGCTGTAGCAAATTGTCATCCCAATGAAGACACAAAATTATAAAAGATTTGGCTTAAAATCAACCTCTCAAATTCCGCGATGCTCATCCAGTGAAAACTCGCCCATCTTTAGTTCAATAAATAATTCTACTTTTACGTTTGCCAAATACATTTTTAAAATTCCTCTTTCTACTCTCCACACACACATTGTGTTAGATTTTTTAAAATGTATGATCTCGAGACCCAGAATAGGCTATTCCTTAGTGAGAACTCCAGGGTGAAAGAGTGAGCGCACCGTTTAGCTTCTAACTGACTAAAAAATGTAGTTAGATGTTTCCTACGTAGAAACTACTTCAGTAGGACAAAGTAAAAGTAAACATTATCATCTACATTGGAAGAAGTAGAATCAATTGTAAAGAAAAAATGAGTGGAAGTCAACAATTTCCTAGGACAATTGCAAGTTTATAGTTTTTGGATCAACCTCATCCGCTTCCCCTGAAGTTCTAATCCATTGTTCTCCTCTTCTCTTTGCCTTCAAACCTCCCCCTCTCCAGAAGAGCGGAGGAGAGAGGAAGGGGGGTGTGTGGAGAGAGAGGGATGGGAAGAGAGAATGGGCTTGTGCTGTGAATCTGACCTTAACAAGAAAAGCTTTTAGCTTTGCTAAAGTTTTTATGAAGTGGAATAGTTAACCCTAGTAAAGGTCACTACTCCTTGCGAAATCCTAGGAGAACTGAAACACGTGCCTTCCCTCCTAGAGGTTGTTGGGGCTAGGAGTGAGGAAGAATGGAAGGATCCTGACTCTCCAAGAGGCAAAACTTGCAAATTCGGGAAAGGCCCTAGCTCATTATTTAATTACTGACCAGCGCTTTTTTATCCCTATGGTTTCTGGTCCTCTTGAAGGTACAGGTGTATATCCGAATTTTCCTCCAAAACTCTTAGATCGCATAAATTCTCAATTAATAGAAGACAGTTCAAGTCTTTAAGGTTATTTTTAAGCTGTTTTCAATGCTTATGATAGAATGGAATAAATGACAAATAAAAGCTATTTTCAAGTTTATTTTTATCATTTGCAAAAGGAAATACATAAAACAATGGCAGTTGGCTTTGCTAACTTAAAATAAAATGATCTCGAGTAGAAAACGTAAAAAAAAATGAATCAAGATAAGTAGAAATGGTAGCAAACACTCAATAATAAATAACTTTTCTAACATTAACAAAGCAAAATACAATTGACCAAATGCTTTTGACACTACTGGATACTTTTTAATTTTATTTTTTTAAACAAACATTTGCAAAGAGCTTAATTAAGGATTTTAAGTGGCCGTGTTTAAAAAAACATAACTGGTCTGCAATTGGCAGTTGAGTTTGTCCCAGAGCCACAGCAGTAGCGGCTGATAAAGTGCGTGCGCCAGGTTTCCTGAAAGACGCCAACTTTCTCGCGATCCAATATACATACAGGGTACATTTATACAATATATAAACTTCAAAGTTCCCCATTTTCGAACGATTCCATAGTCAAAAGTAATTCACTTTGGAAGTCTCAACTTTGCGTTTCATAATGCATTTTGGGAAACAATTTAGGGAATACTAACTCTCCCAGGCGTGAGTGCGCGCAACACACAGGGATGGATGCCCAGGGCATAAAATAAATTAAACACAAACCAGCCACAGAGAAGATGCGACGTTTTAGCAGCGTATTGGCAGCAGGGAACAAGAATAATGATGCCATATATGGGTACATATAATCAATTATACCTTTTCTGTGTCTACAGGGGGAGAAGAAGGTGGGAGGGAAGGAAATAACTTTAACAAGTTTTCATCAAACAATATTGGACGACAGGAAGTTTGGAATAGCGGCGGCTTTTGCAAAGCATCACATGTAGCTGCCATCTGAAGCCAAGTCGTTGCTAAACAACGACCATCGCCCAGCAAAAATTAAAAGGGTGCGGGGATCTTTAACCGCGGGGCTTCCCGCGCACTGGGAAAGGGCGATTTTGTTTCTGTCTCAGTTTTCAGGGTTTCTGTCACCTTCCTAACTTGCCTCATCCGAATCACTGTAATGGGAATGGGGGGAAAACTCCCCGTCGCTTCTGTGAGACCGGGGCGAAGTTTTGCTACTTTCCTCCTGCACTGGCGGCAGGATGCCCCCGGGCAGCGAAGGCGACAGGTTCTTTTGCGCCATCATCGCCGTCAGGGTGCTGTCCTCGAAAGTCGAGAAGTGCAAAGCGTCCAGCTGCACTGAATATCCTCCCGCGGAGGCCGGGGCTGAGAAGCGAGTCCGGCAACTTCCAGGCGGGGCTGGCCGCTGGCCCCCTCCGGAGCCCGGCTGTGCCCCAGCTGCGGTCGCAGTGCCCGCGCCGCCTTCATAGGGGACGGAGGTGCGAAGGTGGTGGTGGTCGTTCTTGCAAGACGCTGGTGGCGGCGGAGGCTGCTCCCCGCCGCTGGGCGTTTGTAGAAGCTCGGACAAGGCGTTGATATAGATCTGGGCCATTTGCAGGGTCTCATACTTGGACAGCTTCTTGTCGTTGTTGAAAGATGGGATAACGTTGCGCAGCTGGTCGAAGGCGTGGTTCAGCCCATGCATCCTGCGCCGCTCCCTGGCGTTGGCCGCCAGCCGCCTTTGCTTCTGCACCCCGTTCACCTGTTTGCTGGAAGGGGCACGCTGGCGGCTGCAGCCCAGCTCGTCTACCACCACCCCGCCTTTCAGCTTGCACAGCTGTTCGCGCACTTTCACCGGGCCGGGGCTCTTGTTACTGCTGCCGCCTCCACTTCTCCTCACCAGGTCCCCGCGGCTGTCCACCTCCTCCCGAGGCGCCGCGGCCTCTGAGGCACCCAGCTCGGGGGAATGCAGCAAATACTGGGCGGCGCGTGCCGTGCAGATGCCCTGCAAAGTGGGGGCCAGCCAGGCGCGTGGGTCGGTGCTATCCAGGAGGGACAGCTCGGCGGGGTAGACAGGATGCTCTCTCGTCTGCAGGGTCGCAGGTGGCTGTTGCGGCTGCGGCAGGTGGTGCGATTGGGGATGGCGATGGTGGTCCCCTAACTCCTTCACTTCAGCCCACTCTTCTACATGCAGCAGGCGGGACATTGCACTGAAAAGGCTCGAAGGCGCAGGGTCGGAGGAGGCACAGGCAAAACAGCTCGACAAAACAAAACAAAACAACAAAACAAACAAAAAAACCTTCCCGGGTCTCTACTGCAATATCTTTTTTTTTTTTTTCCTCCTTCTCCACCCTCCCCCACCTACTCGGAGATCACACACCCGGTCGCGTGCAACGAAGCTTCTCCGGTTGCTGAAGGCGCTGCGCCCCTTTAAAAAGCGGCACGCGCCAGTGTGGCTCCCCCCCGCTCCTCTCCCAGCCCCCTCCTCGCGCCGGTCGCGTGTCTGCTCGGCCAATGGAGGGCGCGGGCAGGCGCGTGCGAGCAGCCAATCAAAGAGTTTTTACACCCAAAGAAAAGTTCCGGGCGTACTAGGGACTACGGCGCCCGCTCTCGGTTCTTCAACTCCACTCCCGCCTTCTTCAAGTTCGTTAAATTCATATGTTAATTGCAGGTTGTAATTCGACTCCGGTGTTGTGTCCCAGTGCCAGAGGCTGGGGTGCGTGAGCCGACGTGGAGCGGACTCCTGGTTGGAGCCCTAGCGGAGTCTGGTTGGACTGGCGCTGCCGCGAGAGGGCTGGAGACCCCCTGCGAGGCTGGACGGGCCGAGCTTGGGCAGGGCCCTTGCGGTGGGGAGAAGCGCTCCTGCCCTTTGCTGCCTCCAAACTAGGATCGCTGCTCCCACCGTTTGTGGCCAAACATTTAAACTCTCTCATATGTAATATATACATACGTGTGTCTATGCAAATCTTCCATAGATATGTAGATATGTAATTGCTAAATGATTATTACCTTTTAAAATCGATGGTAGAATTTTAAAAACTGACAATACGTTTCCCAATTTTCATCTCTCGCTCCAGATCGACTTTATGTAATCTTTTTCTTAATGGAAAGTAAAACTGGAGTACAGGTATAGAATTCCAGGTTCGTCCGTCCGTCCCCTTCTCCCAACACCCCGCGACCAACTCGGGTGGTAATATGCAGAAAACTCTCTTCTGAGTAGTTTTAGGGCCAGGATAATTTACAGCATGTACAAACACACTAGGACTCCTTACTAAATGCGGAGCCAGGGAAGTGTACCTAAAGGAGAATGAAAAGCGCCTGCGTACCTTGCAATTGTGAACACTTTCAAGGTACAGAATCCCGGAGTTACCAACTCATCTGCTTCAGAAACTCTGTTTAATACCGCGCGCGTGGCTTCTCCGGCAACACCCATAAACCACAGCCTCTCTCCCCACCACCCTATGCTCCGTTAGAATGTTTTCTCCCTCAGGGTTCCTCCCTCCTCTCCACTCCCCTGGCCTGAGCGCTAAAGCCCGGGAGGTCCTGGGCTACGCTGGGACCTATCTTCCAGGTGAGCACCTCAATCCCGTCCCAGTAGCCCAGGTCTCCTGTGTTCGCAGTGAAAAGCCAATCAGAAACATCCCAGCCCTGGGCACGCCCGGCTTGCGCGCGCAACACCGCCCCATCTCCGGCAGCGTGCACCCTGGGGCCCAGTAATGGGACCCAAGCAGCTGGTGCTGGTTCTGCTCTCTACTTTAGTTGTGGCTGAGGTCAGGATAGGAATCTCAGGCACCAGAGAAGGTGGTCAAGAAAAGCCAGCAGAGAGAGCTCCACGGAACCAGAAACGACGGTGCCCAGAAATGACTGAAAGTTGTTCTCGCTAGTATTTGCAGGGACTTGATCTAACCTGCCATTTAGAACTCCTTGGGCAAAAGAATCTGTAGGACCCGGGGGAGGCAGGGGATATATATATATATATTTTTTCTTGTAGTGTGTGTGTGTGTGTGTGTGTGTACACACACACACACACACACTACATTTTTTTTCCTGTAGTATATTCTACCTATATATTTTATACCAGCGATTTTCAACCGGTGTGCTGAAAGAATTTAAAAAAAAATGCAACACTTTACCACTTAGTCCTGAGTGCTGACCTCTTTTCTCTTAGATTGTCAAATAAAAAATAAATAAAAATGACAGCCAATGCTATAGCCATCTTGTGTAAATGTATAAAAATTATACCTATTTTTTTTGTCAGGTTGGCAAAAAATATTTTTTGTATATGTTGCAGAATTTTAGTAATTAGTTTATGTGTGTCATGAGATGAAGAAGGTTGAAAATTGATGTTCTATATTATATACTATATTCTACCCTTCTATACCTTTATGAAGATAGCTATAGATAATCTTCATAAAGGTATATAGCTACAGTAGACTAGAGTGCTAAAATGGTACACACTTAATACATCATTCTTCACGAGTTTTTCCATCAATCTTGTGTGTTTGCCAGTGGACAGGGACAGTCCTAGGCTTTCCCATCTTAAGAGCCAGAGAGGTCAGAGCTGGATTCTTATGTGAATATTTAGGTTCTGCTGTAAATACATTGACTAAGATGAACAGACACAGAAGCAAAAACAGAAGATCCCAAACCTAATTTGAAAATCATTGGTGAGAGTAAAGAAAAGGTGAATAGGAAAAAATCATCTAATTCTTTTTGGGAGGAGAAAATTCTCTAATTTTTTTGCCGATTGGAATGGGCGCTTTCCGAATAAACTAAGGATGCTATTTCTATAATAGTGCTACTTCAAAAAAATAATTGTTAATGGTAGTGGATGTCAAAAGGTGACTTTCAGAAGAATGACTGACCGTATTCTACATGTGTATGGCAGCTTTAGCTGCTAGAACCTGGAATTATCAGCTGTTTATATTACATTTGTTCTTCATGCATTACTTTTCCCAAGTGTATCAGCTGGAAGTTACTCCTGGAATTCTTCCACATAATATCACTTTCAAATATATGCCCACGTTTTCCTAGGCTGGCATCATCCAGACTTTTTGTCTGTGTTTTAAAACTGACTGTGTAACTGCCAAAATTCATTTTCCTCTGAGCTTAAGCAGTTTATAGGCTGTAGCCAAATATTTGCTGAATACCTGGTATATTGATCCCAATTTGTCAATTTTTAAAAAGATTATCATTAGCATTACTATTTTTTTTTAAACAAGTCTCAATTTTTAGGTGAGTAAAGTATTCCCAAAATGTGAAGGACAGTAGGCTGTTTTTGTTTTTGTTTTTTGTTTTTAGTTTGTGGTGAAATGTATTTCTTTTGCCCTTAGAATCAATAAGAAGCTATTTTCTTTGCCCCCCCACCCGTTTCCTTCCCTTCTCCTCTTCCATGATGCGGGGCTGAGAAAGCGAGACATCTGGGTGGGGAAGGTGGCAGAGCATAGTGCATGGGGTAGGAGCTCAGTCATGTGAGCAGGTGTCCCTGCTTAGGTTTTGTGGCATGGGATGTCATACATCAAGTAACATGAGTGTGTGTGAAGGCTGGGTGGTGGCAGCAATAGCAGACTGGGGGGTATGGCAGTGCGCTCAGAGAGAGGAGGGCTTGTCTGTGTGTGGACAGCGGGATTAGTTACATACGGAGGGATTAATGAACAAGAAAATATTTGAGGACCATAGGAGTAAGGTTTTCGCTGTCAGAAAAGGGAGTTACAAATATGGAAATGGAGAAAGCCGTAGAGTTCAGTTGAGTTGGTGATTTTGAGATGGTTATGGTTTTCAATGTATATAAAAAGATTATAAAGAAATAGAGATGTAAATGTAGGGTGTGTGGATATGTGTGTGTGTGTGTGTGTGTGGTGTACCTACATATATTCCCTAGCTCTTTTCATTCTCAGGGCCTGGGATCAACAATGAGTATATCTGGCTCCCAGATTTTAGTTTCTAAGTAAAATTTTCCACTACCAGAAACCAGGGTTCTTAGGAAAACAGGCTGATTCCAGGAATAACATAGAAGATGAATATAAAACATCTTGTTAGAAATAAGGAAGTACTCGAAGAATGGTGGAGACATGTCGTAAGACCCCAGGAGCCTGCTTGAAGCCGCTTCCACTGACAAAATATAGGACAAGTTTTAGCATCAAAATGTATGATAGCAACAGATTACCTACCATTGAGAAATAGAGGAATCTATGAATCTTTACTAATATAACGTAATAAGTGAATGTATTGGTGGTTTAATGAATACCTTGTTACAAAATATGTATTGATTACAAAGGAAAGATGATTGATTCTACTGCTATAGTGAAATATGGCAGGCACCAGCTTAAGTGATCAAAGTTAACATCACCAGCAATGGGACAAATCAAATGTATGTGCCATTTGTTAGGATGCAGAAAACATAGCACCGCTTCTGTGGTATCCCTGCCAAAGATGCATATCCTGAATCCAATCAAGAGAAAACATCAAACCAGCCCAAACTGATGGGCATTCTAGAAAACAGCCAGCCTATTATCTTTGAAGTGTCAAGATCCTGAAGGGCAAAGTCTCAGGAACTATTCCAGGCTAGTGGTGGATAAAGGGACATTATAATAAATCTGATGCCTGATTCTAAACTGCATCCTTTTCTAATTGGGGCAATTAAGAAAGCTTGAATGTTGCCAGGGAAATAGATGGTGGCAATGTTAGTTTCCTGAGTTTGGTGGTTTTACTGTGGTTATATAAAAGAGGAGAATGTTCTTATTTTTAGGGAATACTCACTAAAGTAGTCGGGGATGATGGAGAAGCTTACTCTCAAATGCTCTAGTAAGAAGGTTCTGTGTATTGTGCGTATAACTTTTCTGTAAGTTTGAGATTGTCTTGAATAAAAAGTAAACAAACCAAATGGGCATATTTACTTTGTTCTTTATGAGCCTAGAGTTACTAATTCAGGTAATCCAAGCATGAGGCCTAGTGTGTCGAGGCCTGTAGTTATTGCTGAAACTTTGAGTTACATGTTCCCCTGCCTCTCAGGGGTCTGTGAGCCTCAACCAGAGGGCAGGCCCTTGTGAGAGTAAAAAGAAGAAGCAGGTGATCCTGTATCCAGGAGACAGGGACCATTGGAAGTGGCTTCTGCAGAAGTTCTCAGCCATGAATCATATGATCTAAGGGACAAAGATGTTTGTTCCATAGCTTAAATCTGCTACAAAGTCACACACAAAATTAGTT